CCCCCCCCCTCATATATCCTCAGACTTACCGTTGTCCTCTGCGCACAACTCTGAGTCACACTGGTCTTAAACTCTTGGTCTAATATTCGTACGGACAAAAGACAACAGGGTATCAACTACGGATGGTTGGTAGCCACTAAGCTGATATGAGACTGATTTAGAATGACTAGTTCGTTAGCTGAAGCGGATTACCTAGAAGTAGCTGCGAGATAGATAGAGAAACTCTGATGAAATTCTAGTGTGATTGATGAGATGTTCGGGCAACATGAGAATACTGAGGATACTTAAACCCGATCCCTCCCTTCTCTACCTATATACCCCATCTCCTACCTCTCCAAGGGTCACCCCTCTGTTATTAACTAAGATTTTGAAAGCTATATGTACCTGACGCATCACAACGACCCGTCTGTGGGTTATTGACATCTGTATGTACCGCTGTTGTTACCATGTAAATCTCAATAAACATTTATTTGAAACAAAAAAAAACAGTAACACATTCTAATGTATTATATAAGGTTCCAAACTTCATGCCTGTGTACCATTGTCATCCAGCCTGGCCCACGTGGCTGCTGCATTGAGTTAGATAGGTTTGCCACTCTGGGTCCATATATTTACAACTCTACTACTAGCAGAGAAGGAAGTCCTAATATAGTATTTTGATAATTTCATCAACTCCATTTGTGGAAATGTAGCTCCAAGCCTCTATGTAACATCCATTGTGCTTCATTGTTGCCTGCAGACATTTATCATGTAGCATTCCTTAGGTCTTCACTAGACAAACTGCCTTCTGTTGTATGCAAAAGGCTTGAAATTTTGACTCAACTGTCAAAAAGACTCCCTGTCATTTTGCGAACGATTTACAGTGGCTAAGATTTTTGTACAATAAGAAAATAAATAAATATATATATATATATTTAATAATAGTGGCAAAGGTGTGTTCATCTGCACTCTTCACCTTATCAGTCTCCCTGTACTGCTGCTCCTGTAGTCTACATCCTCTGCTCTCCCCCTCCATACTACGCCTCTTGCCTGTATCTAAAACCGCCCATACTGCTTAAGTAATATTCAATGCCTCTTTCCTTCAGCACACCAACATATTGTTCCTTTCATCTACCTCCAGCACTCTTCCTTCTACTCCTCTAGCCTGCCAATCACTTTTCTTTCACACTTCCTACTGTGCCCCACTTCTCTGCTCCTCTGCTTACCTCCAAGACCCCCTTTCTCATCTATCACCAGCACACCCCCCCATACTTTCTTCCCCGGCACCATCTCATTCTGCGTGTTTTTTTTTCAGTTTCTCTCTCTTTCTATACTTCTACTTTGTCCCTCTTTCCACTTCAGCACCTCTTCCCATGAAGCACTTCTGCTTCTCTTCCAGTATTCTGCCAGTTAGCATGGGTCATGCAAACCACAAGCCAGTGGCAAGTGAAGATTAATTTGGAAGTCAACGGAAGCCAAATGGGAAACATTTATATAATGTATTAATGTCAAAAACCCCTGTGATAAAAAAAAATGCCATCATGACTTTAATTTATAGTAAATGACACCTGAAGGAAAAATGGCCCATCATGTCAGTAGCAAAGTGCCCTTGATAAATATATTTTATGTCATACATTATTCATCCTTTTTTTTTTTTTTAGAGGGTGGGGGAAGGGTACTTTATACAGCAACTACACCCCGGCCTCTGAAAGCACCCAGCTCTACCTATACCCCTGGACCAATGCATACCACTACACTCAATACGATATCCCTTTTTGCAAAGTTTACGTGCATGGACCAGCATATGCTTATTTTTCCTGTCTCCTTACTCTAATTTGGGCATTATGTCCTTTACTCACATTTGAAAAATGTTAGGATTTACATGCTGCAATTATTGTTGATAGCTGGTATAGGAGTAGTTGTTACAATATGCCTTAAGATATATAAGAGGGTGACATATACCTATCATGCATGTAAAGACAGTGTGCAGATACAAATTCTGTATAAATAAGTCTATTACATTTCAAAATTAAAAACATTAAAAGAAAGAAAGTTTGTACACACATTACAAAAAAACAAATTTAATATTGTTAACATAAATATATGCATTTATAAAACAAAGTAATGTAAATGCAGATTGTAATTGTAAAAAACAAAGCACAAACAAAGCAAAAAATTATGTATAACTGTCTGTTAATTTAGACAAAGCAACATCATATATTGATGTAATTAGAAAGGTAGTGGCTTATTCCAGTCCTGTATAATTATACTGCAAGGCTATTGACTAAAATTAAAATTTGTTGCAGTTCCTATGGGAACGAATATCACATGAAAGGGCTGAAATTGTATCATTTTGTGTAAAACAAAGCTCCAAAATGTTAGCATGTTAGCACACATTCTTGCATTTTGAACACTTGTCAAACATTTCATGAATGAAGCTCACAAAGCTGCTTTTAAAACTCTTAAATATTTATGTGTCTTAGCACCTGATTGAAAACAAAAAGAATGTGGTGATTAAAAAAAATGCAGAACTGAGAATGTGATATGCGGCCTGGATTTCTCCATTAAACTTGCTTTATTATCAACATATTAAATTCTGGTTGTTGGTTTCAAAGATAAAAACTGGAACAGGAGGAAGTAACAAAGTTTTTAAATTCCTTTTCCATGCATAAACTTGGCTTATTAATCCTGCATCAATGACCTGAGGGCCTCAGCAGCTTCAACTGTCACGGTCATCTTACCAATTATTTTTTCTCCAGACATGGAATCATAAACTGGACCAGGAAACATAAAAAAAAAAAGTTAGAAATCAATACCAGTGCACGGAACACGTACACTGTCAGCTACATTTTGTTATAGTTTACAGCATAAAATGAACCAGATTATTATAGTTTATACTGAACCTCTTATCTAGGTGTGTCTTGTCCATACAGTCTGTTGTGCATTCCATCAGAGAACACTTTCAAAATGAATCACCTGACACAAACATGGTTTCAGTGGTTCATAGTAAAAACCGACGAACTGGGAGAGCATAAAAAGGGCTTCTTGCCTTTGGCACAAGACACCTAATAAAGCAATGACTGCTCACTACTGTGCCCAGTTATTTATCAAAGTGCCAAGGTATACGAGACATGGAAAAATAAAAAGCCTAAATACCAGACCTAGGTTTCCAAACACTATGGTGTCCTACAAATATTTCCAGCAATATCACCTACACAAAATGGACACTTCTGCATCACTAATATGATGATTTTTAAGCAAGTTGAGTATTTAAAGCCGAACTCCAGGCAAACAACTAAATCCAAAGATAGAATAAATATATGAAAGTTGTTTTGCCTGCCAATGGATTTTTTATTTTGTCCATCCAGTACTGATATTTGAGAGTTCTGTCACACAGCACAGTCCTGTATGGTGCATGAGGGGACATGGTCTTTCTCTGCTGATGTTTCACTTTAATATACAGGTCTCCTCCCTACCTACACTTTGTGTCTAAACAGCAATAGGAGAGGCAGCAGACTGATGAGCCCATCTCTCTGTTACTCTGCTATCTTCACCTATCAACATTTCTCTCTATGGTGCAATACACCTGACTGACTCCTTGTGCTGCTCCTCCCATCTGGGTCTGCTATTACAGTAGAGTGCAGGAAGCTGACACCAAGTCAAATTCAGGGACTTGCAATGCTTGCATTTAAAAATAAATCTAATGATGTATTAATGATTACAGAGCTGTATTTATTTGTGCTTTTTTTATCTGCCTAAAGTTCAGCTGTATATTTACTGTATCTCCCTGCAAGACAGTGTAAATCTTTGAGACACAAGCCGAATCTAATGCACATGAGCAGCCCAGGCAGGTGTAGACCATTTACAGAGAAAAGTACAAAGAAAGTGGTTGTTTGAGAGTCAAAACCAAGCACTGATGCATCGTTGAAATGACTGCATGCTCCATCCTACATTTACAACATCTGAGAAAAGCAGGTTGTTTTGTTGGTGCAGACCATACATATGCTGATATCACCATTAATGTTCTAACAAAACCCTCCTATGTCATTTGCACATATATGTAAGTTATGATTTTATTTAATTTTTTTAATGAAGATGCCTATAAAAATCTTGCAAAATTTATTTTCATTAACAAGTGATCACCACAAGGGGCGTAAGGGCTTTTTTTTCAGTGAGATCAGTTAACCTCTTGCCGTCCGCCCGTAGTAAAAAAACGGACGGACGGCACTGCAGCATCTGCGGGTTGCCGTCTCCAGACGGCAATTTTTTTCTGCTCGCGCGCGCCCCCTAGCGGGCACGCACGGGCAGAAAAGACCCGCTAAATGCACACACCCGTTACCGGGTGTTTCACATATAGGCGATCGGCGGGTCCATAGCCTGCCGATCGCCTATATGTGCTCGTTCGCGG